AAGGCGTAATGTCACGTTTTGAAGACGGTCAATGCACTGCAGATGGAAGCATAGCTGACAGATGAGAAACAAACTTTTCCAGCAGGAGCAGCTACTTCTGCAGATTTGGAAACTTTTTCCTGTTTCTGGTATATTTGCAGTTCGAGAACTGGCTTATTCAGGGTTGAGAAACAATAAAGGACTGACAATAAAAAAGAAGGTGTGCTTTTTATCTTTCCATAATCAGGGAAACAAACACACCAACCAACTAAGGCAGGAGAGGATGAGATGTACTCATTCTAAAGTCTTGAAAGGGTAGTTTCCGGAAACACTTCTTCAACTCACTGATCACTTCTTGCTTTGGTTTCATGCACCAGGTGTTTTAACCTAAAAAGTATTCTGAAATTTACTTTTCGTTCTGTATTGTGTATTTGCAAGGGAAAGAGATTTTACTAATAAAATCAATTCAAACTGCTGGAGTACTTTAGCATGGCATTACAGTTTTCATCCAAAAGAGCAATCATGAGTAATAATTTAATCACCACCTCTTCAAGAGCAAATAGTGATTCACCATTTTTCTAATGTAAAAAATATCTAAAAACTAAGACTAAAGGCATACTATGTTACATAATCGATCAAAATAAAAGTAGTAAAAATAGAGTATTTGATGAGTAAAAGAATAACCAGATTTAACAACTGAACAGTGGTAAGGAAAGCTATACGTGGTTTCATAGGTGCTGTTCAGTAAAACTTGACCTTTTTTTCAGGGAAACAGCTTAAAAAGAAAGGCAAACCCAGAAGAAAATCAATTTCTGAATGCAAGTGATCTGCTGTCACTAAAACCTGTGATTTTGATCCTTCTGACCTATATCAGTCTCTGGCTATCAGTAGAGAGACCCTAACACAAGTACCCAGCTCCACTGGTGTGGAGCCTGTGAATGCTGGTCTTTGTGCAAGTGCAAGTGCCAAGACCCCCATCACAAGCTGCAGCTCATTTTTGGCAACCACCACCTCAAACACACGTTTTAAGAGCGGCAATGTCCATACATATGTGAGATTGAGTAGCTTCTTGGCAAGACTCTGTTTTGTTGAGGGTCAAGAAAACAGCAGACAAAACCAAGTTCCTCACCCCAAGATTCTACAGCTCACACTGCAGCTGACACACAACTAATCTGTGTTACAGAATGAGATGGAAGTTGCAAAAAAATGTCCTCTCCCGTCCTCAGGGCCACATTCAGCCCAGAAGGAATCCTTTGAGCTGAAATATCAACCTGAGAAAAGGTATGAAAGAATAGGTTTTATGCCCCTTTTGCTCCTTTCTGATCTCTCAGGTAATTCCTGCATCCTCACTCTCAGGAAGAGGACTTTTCTGACTTTTCTATCTCCTTATTCTGCCCAGTGCTTCTCAGAGAGCTGAAATATTGACATTTCCCCCCTTCCTCTACCTTTTCCCTCCCAAGAACACAACAGCACCAGACGTGCACCCATCCCACCCCAAGGCAGCTGTATTTTCAGGGTATGCAGAGAGACTTTCGTCTATTTGGAGACACAAATCACTTTTCTACCTCTTCAACAAGATTTGCAGCTCACTTGCTCACGAGTACAAACCGGGCAAAAGCTACAACATGAGCTCTGTGAAGCAACCTGCTCTATGTGCAGCTGTACATCCCAGGGGATGTGGGGACACTCCACTGTGCTCCAGCACGAGACCCTCCTGCCCATATGCACCAGATGCTAAAGGTGGGTTCCCATCCAGAATCTGGCATTGGCCCTGAAGGGTGTTGAGTGCCCTGAACTCCCCAGATTTTGGACATGATGGAGGAGAGAACATGAAGCATGGAGTGGGACTGGTCCCAGAGCATGCCAAGTGCAGGGATTTGGAGCCAATATCTGCTGAGATAGTTAATCAGAGAGTGATTTGAAAACAAAGCAATACACAACCGATCAGGCAAGACAGCAAAATTCCTTGCAAATCGTTTGCAAAAACAAGTGGCCATCCACTGCAATTTTTCTGTCAGATTTGAAGGGAAATATCCTTGTTGCACATTCCTGCATAAGCAAGCTGAGGCTTCACAGGAATGTCTGCATCCCCCTGGACCACTCTCCATGCTGGAGAGGCTTCCCATGCTCCTGGGAAAGGAGCTGCACAGACAGTCTCTTACATGGCATGGTGTTTGTGAAACTGGTGAGGCTGGCTAACAAATCTACTTGCTGCTCCCTTCTTGGCCCTCACTGGTTTGCAGATTTCTGGACATCAGTGACCCACGAGGATCATAAACATCAGGGGCTGACCCTGGTTATACCCACCTTAGATGCCCTCCTTTAAGCTCCCCAATGTCGCTCAACCTTGCTGAACCCCAGGACTGAGAACAAAGAGAAAGGAGGCTCTAGACCACATGGGAACCACCCCCAGAACCACAGCCAGCTTCTGTCTCACTGTGGGCAATGAGAGGCTGGCAGGTAGCATGCTTCACCATTCTTCCCTCCCTTCTTGTGCAGCAATCCTTGATTAGGGGTCATTTATTCGCCTGAGAAGCAGGGCTGTGTTGGCAGCAAGGCTCCTTACAGTCAGGGAGGGGAGGGCAGCCCCGGGCAGTGAAAGGGATGGATGGCTCCTCCCAGCCTTGAAGCAAGGGCAGTTGAGAGCATGAAGAAGAGAGAGGTGAGGACTGCTCAGGGCACAGGGCAACCATCAGCAATTGGGATGACTGTTCCCAGTGGCCCAGTCCTAGTGGCCAACACGGAAAGACTTGGCTGTGGAGGACTGACACTTGCTCCAGGACAAGGCAGCAAAGCCAGACCCAAGGAAGACAGGTTGCCTCTGCAGTGAGCAGCCCCTCCTTGGCCCTTGGTTTGGGGACATCTCGGGCTCTCACTACAGCCAACACCTGATCCATGCCTAGGGTCTGAAAAGCCATTAGGCTGGGAAATAGTGGACAGAAAGCCAGGAAGCTTGTCCAGACATCAGCACCACCCCTCGCCTTCTCCCAGCAGGACACTGGGCTACCAAGCCCCAAAGCCAACAGCCATGACAGCACAGGCAGTGGTTGTGCCTGGGGCTCCCAAGCTGGCCAGGAGGAGTAGTTCTTCTCCCCAGCTGCCATTCAATGAGCCTCCAGCTCACTCCTGAGGGCTCAGCCTGCAGTAAAGCTACTCGGCAGAGAGTGCCAGTGGCTGCCACCTCTGCAGGCAGTCAGAGGATTCTAGACATCCCAGACAGATCTGCTCTGGAGTCAGCTCAAATGGAGCAGCCAGTAGGCTGTAACACACAGGGCACATGTGCACCCTTGGCAGTATCAGGGAGATGGAGACTGTCACACTGCTGGCCTGGCATCCCTCGCAGTACTCACGTAAATCCTTTCCAAACAGTGTGGGAAAGGCAAGTTTGCCACTGGGATGAAGTGCTGCAAGAATGGAGCTTGGTTGCTGGGTCTTGCTTCTCCATGGGCAATTCACCCACAGCTCACCCTGTACTGGGGAGAGCTGGGAGTGCTCCCCCACAGAGGCAGTTTGGCAGAAATGAAGAAGCAAAACCCTCCTAAAGGACTGGAATGGGGAGGGACATGAACAGTATCTCTCTGAACTCCGTCAGGCAGAGGAGTCACACCTGTGCAAGACAACAGCACTGAGGTAAACATGGGCAGAAACCAACAGTAGACAGATGATACTCTAGAGATGTGGATGCTTTGTTGGAGTAAGGGATGACAGCAATAGAGAGCTCATGATATAAATAATATGAGGAACAATGAAGCAGAAACCAACTCTGGATCCCCTGGGAGACCCTAGGAAAAGCCTAAGCCCCCAAAACGGGATAAGCACACACAACTCCTGCAGTCCCTGCTCCCTCCCCGTGATCCCCCAACATGGCACACAAGCAAGGCAAATCTGCTCCCAGGCAAGGAAGCAAATTTTAATGCTACTTCTGTCAATAATGCAACCAGATCCATAGTTCAAAAGGAGCTTGCTAATTAAAAGCTGGTGAGCTTTAAATAATTCATCTCCTTAACTTGGATTGATTAGAGAGTTTAATGGTTAGAGTCTTGAAACAATATTAAACAGCCTCTTCAAGGCCCAGGTAGCCAGTGACTTTTCCAAGTAAATCTTACCTCCTTGCAAACTTTAATGCTCAAATGTCACTGAGGATGAAGAGCTGGGAGGCAGAGGGAACACCTGACCGCTGGTCTCCAAGAGGTGATCCACTGCCCCGCAGAGAAACAAGACAGGCAAGAGTGATGCAGCCCTGACTCACAGCCCTGTCTACAGCCCAGTAAATCTGAGCTCCTGCCCGTACCACAGCCTGCTGCTGTCCCAGCTCTGCATCCCCAGGGCTAAGCAGCAGGCAGATATATGGCCTCAGTGTCCTGGGCGAGGTCTCCCTCATATCACTTTGATCCCTGGTGCAGAGGAGTTGGGGCATACACAGAACTCTGCCACTGTTCATCTTGAAGCACTGTTTATCAGTTGTTTATCTTGGAGCAGGCTGTGGGACCACGAAACTCATCACACATGTGAGCAAACAGGACGATGATTCGGTTCTCCAGCTGGGACCGCGCATCTTCACTCTGCAGTGTGTTTCCAGCCAGCTCCCAAGGCTGTGCTGCCTGGCAGAGCCTCCTTCCCAAGGACGATCACAGCATCCAGAGCAACTCGAGGGCTGGTCCAACAGGAAGAGCATCCCACCTAGCCTGGGGACCCTTGCCCTGTGCTCCACATACCTGGTGCTGCTCCACATCCAACCCCAACTCAAGCACTGCTAGAGCAGTCAAGGAGGGAAGCAGCTCCCTAGCCAGAGGGACCTGCAGGTATGTTTGGCACATTGGGATATGCCAGGGACAGGGAGGTCATCTGTGTGCCCATCCTGCCCTGACACATCTGCATCCCTTTTACCAGTTGGAGACCCTGCAGTCCTTTGGCTGGCTCTTAGCACCCCAGACTGGACAAGGTCTTGGAGCTGAGGCACGTTCCGCGCACCCGGGGCAGCAGCCGTGGGGATGGGAATGGCACAGGGCAGCAACACTCACCTATCCCGCTGTGAGGCCTCCCTATGTGCTGTAGGTTCAGTCCTTTGTTCATGTCTAAGAGCCCGTTCTTTGGCCAACTCCCCATGGCAAAGCTGTACGCCTGGAAGAGAGAAGCAGAGTGTCAGACAGCACAGCCCATGTGCAGGCACGATTTGTGTTTGCCCAAGTCTGGCTGCTCCCGGGGCTAGCGTAGGTCTGCGTTCACCATGTTCAGTGCAGACCCACACATCACCCTCACAGCAGCTCTCCTGGAGTTGCTCGAACAAAGTACCCTCACCCTGCCCCGTCCCACGTGGTGCTCCTCAGAGAAGAGGTGTCCAGAACCTCTGGTGGTGTCCTGTACAGCTGACAACCCTCACAAGGGAGGGATTTGCATCACTCAAGGCTACCTTTGCCGTGCTGGGGCAAGCCAGGGGCTGTGAGCTCATCACCCATGTCCCTTGGTTGTTCCAATAAAATCCCCCCATTCCTGCCTTACTAAAGATGGGGTCATCAGCAGGAGTCAGGGGGATTTGGAAAGGGGCACCCATGCCAAGGCTGGCCTGGCCAGCAGTCCCCTTCTCCTCCCTCCGGAAAGCACAGCCCTCCAGGCTCCCTCTCCTTTCCACCCCCAGACCCCAGTTGCTTCAGGGCTCTCCATCACTGGGTGAAATCCCACTGGGAGACAGCACTGCTCACTCCACTGAACAGAGCCTGCAGCCTGGCCAGAGGGAGCCTGCTCCATCCCCACTGCATTCCCTGGCAGGGTTTCCAGCAGGAGCAAGGCAACTGGGAGCCTGAGCAGCACAAAAACCCACTGGACAATGCAAACATAAAAGCAGCCAGGCCTCTGTGTGACACGCACAGCTGTAATTACAGCCTGACAGCCACATATCTTCTTCATCTTGAGGAATTAAGCTCAGCAACGCATTGTGAGCAGTAAGAAGGGTGCGTGGGCTTAGCGTCGCTCACGCTGGCACTATCTCTGCTGCCGTGAGGGCCATTGTCCCCAGATGAGATCAGGTCAATCCAGCAGCCCCTATCTCCCTTCTGCAGGGGGGATCATCACTAACTGCAGCCACAGTGTGGCGGGGCATTGCTGACACCCTCCGCAGGCTGCAAATGCCGTGGAGATACTCTGCAGCAGGAAACTGGGCGAGCAGAGCTGAGCAGTGCCCCCCACCAGCCCACCAGCCACCTGCTTGCCACTGGGACCTCCTGCCAGCCCTCTTCCTTGCTACCTGCTGCTCTGCCCAGCATGGGCAGGTCCAGCCCCTGAACAGCCCCGGCTGCCGGCAGCCCCCCCGAGAGCCACAGGGCTTGGGGGAGTTAATTTATTAGTGGCCCACGTAACCATTCACGCTGCTTTGTTCCTCCTGCCTTAGCAAAACAGAGGGCTCCACAGATAATTAATAGACAGCATTGCTAATCCTGTTGGGACATGATTAGCAATTAAAACTCCTAATTAAGTCTATGCATAATTCACTGAAATTACACTTTGTGTACACAACGGGGAGGTTTCTTTTGCCTTCGACAAATACAGTCTGGCATGTTCACTGCCATGGGCGGGATGCAGGCTGGCCAGCCACAGTGGGGGGGAGCCAGAGGTGCAGGATAGGACCCTGCCACCCATCCACTGGTGACCCTGGATGATGGTGGAAGTGGTTCCACACACGGCTCCCTCTCCTGGGCTCCATCCCACAATGCAAACCCAGGCACAGCACAGGAAGGTTCTTGCGCTCAGCACCAGCATGATGACAGCACTGGGGGCCATCCCTAGGGAAGGAATGTCCCCGGATGGGGAAAGGCTAGGGGTTTCCCTGCACAGGGAACTACCATATTGCAGGCTGCCTTCCCAGTCCAGACGTATCCCTTGGACCCTGGCCAGGAGCAACTGAGGGAGCACAGCAGGAGGCTGGCAGGATCTCTGGAAAGCCATGGGGACAACTCTGGAAAGCTCCTGGCAGCTGGGTGCTAGTGCCAATCCTGGCCTGCCTCCCCTGGCTCTGCAGCAGTAGCAGCATCAGCAGGGAGCTGGCAGCACGTGCCCCGACCCTCGGATCAGCACCGGGCCCATCTCTGCACAGCGCTCTGCTTTCCTGATCAAGGTCATTCGGAACAGCCACAATACCTGAGCAAACTAGCTAAGCAGCCAGGGTGGAAGTTGGCCTGACCACTGAAGGTCAAGTGTGCACTTATGCATATTCAAAGCTGCCTGCAGGATCGATCGGGTTTTAATTGTTTTTCCTGGGGTTTTGGAAGGAAGTGCCAGGGGCATTGATCAGTCCCAGACAAGGCTGCTCACACTCTGGGGCTGGCAGGGACCGTCACTGCTGCAGGCAGAGGGAAGTGCAGGCAGTGATGATGAAGGGATGAAGGCCAGGCAGGGAAGAGGTCAGCCAGCCAGCATCGGCCGGGAGGAGGAGCCATTGCCAGGCTGCGCTGGAAAATAAAGTTTTTTAATTAAAAGTGGCAATTCCGAGCCGCCTGCCGGCAGCAGCCACACAATCAAGAGCGAGGAGCTTTGCTGTTTAATATTTAAAGACAACGTTTAATCTTTAAACAGGAAAGTTCTTCTTCTGACTGTTAAAGCAAGGCAGAAAACGCCGGTGGGTCCCCGACGCCAGGGTCCCCAGCCCACAGGGGTGGCCATGGCCACGGGCTCACTGCAGCCACCGGGACACCACCACTGCTCCAGCCCCACACAGCTGCTGGCACTGGCACAGACCCCTGTCCCTTCAGCATTTGTCCCTATGGCAAGCTGTGAAAAAGTCTGAGACACCCCTGGTTCGCTCGCAAGCCAAAGGATTTAAAAAAATGCCATGAAACCCTTTCTGAGAGGAAACCGCACTATTTTGCCCCTCCCTCCAGTTCAGTCCTGGTGTTGCAGTGACTGGGTTGCTCCCTTATAGGTCAGATGCTGAAGCAGGGTGAGGACCCTGAGGCTTTTTATTTTTATCTGCATTTTAATTGATAGAAAACGCAGACATCTTTTAAAAAAGCTATTTTTAAAATGTTTTTGGCCAGAATCTGATTTAGAGAGAAATTCAATGCTTCTGATCTCCCAAAAGCCACCCAAACAACGATGGCAGAATAATTTCCAAGCAGCTTGGATACAATTACTTCATTCATACAAGCTCCTAGAAAGGTTTTCCTTTTTCTCTTGATTTTGTTTGTAATTCTATGAAGGCTACATTTACCTCCCTGCCAATGCTGCTCTGAAGTCAGATGATTATTAATTATATTTATTTACTTATACAATCCCATAGGCATACGCAGCAGTTCACAGACAAATACTGCCCTGGGTCCCTGATGGAGGGATCTCAAATCAAAGGTAAGCAGATACTCCTGTGATAAATGTGAGCTAACAGCAGCAGGAGATTAGTAGCATACTGTGTTTCCATGCATAGAGCCAGCACCACAGATAATCCACACCTTGTTAAAAGTGCTGGTATGGGGAGATAGGTCCTTAGGTAACCTGTACCTCACATATCCTGCAGAAAATCCAAAAACCAGAAGTGAGGATAAAACATGGGGTACAGCAGCCTGGGGCATGGAGACGATGTATGTGTAGAATCATAGCATCTGAGGCTGTATTTATAATAGAGCAAAAAAGGGTCTGAGACCATCCTCTCCCCTTGCACCAGGTCACAAACCCTCCTGGTGGCCGTAACGCATCCGCCTCAGTTTGCAAAGGGCCTGAAACAAGAGCTCCATGGGTTATTTCTGGCACCACTGGGGTCCCCTCTGTGCTGGGGCAGGAGTATATGGAGCACATGACTGTGGGGTTAGGCAGTCCCGTGGAGCACAGGATTTGTGCAGTCTGGCACTGAGTTTGGCCTGCCTGCCCTTGCTGCAATCCCAGTGCACCTATCCCCAGGAATGCCGGGGCTGGCGAGGCGGCAGCACCAACACAGTTGGCTCCTGATGTGGTGCTCCCTGGAGTTTGTTTGAGCTGCACACCATGGATTATAAGCAGCAGAGCTGCAGAGAAGATGTTCCAGGGCGTCAGAAAATTCCAGGAACTGGAACTTGTCAAGCTGATGTATTGATCTAAGTGGACTGAATAATGCTCCATCATTTATTTATGGGGAAGTGCCCGGCACACTTCACAAAAACTGGTGTTCAGCAGGCACATTAAGGCAAAATTTAACATCCTACACCATGCAAACAGGTCACCTGTGCAGAGGTCAGGATGCTCACTTACATGAGGAGCCCCACAAATCCTTCTTGCACGCACAGGAAGAGACAGGGCTGGTCCTCGCGGAGCTGCTGGAGCTCTGTCAGGGCAATGTGTCAGTGCTGACAGAGCCAGCCCTGTCCTTTCTGCACGTGTCTGTCAATGCTGTGACCTGCTGGCCAGCCCCTGGCCCCTCTGCCCTCCACTGGAGCTGCAGGCATTGCATGGCCCTGGGTGCTTTAGCTGAAGGGCAGGAGGGAAGCGGGGCTTTGTGCTTTGCAATGGCATGAGCATGTTCACAAACCACGGCAGCAAAAACTGCCAGGACCAGCATAGTCTCTCCTCCTACCCTGACCAGCAGGGCAACTCTGTCATTTTATTTTACAGGTCCTACCAAGAGGTTTTATATGTTTCCTCTGCTAATTGTAATTTTAATATTAATACAGACACTTTCAGGCAGGGAGAAAATATTTGGAAAAAATTCTCCCAGGAGCAAAGGGGCTCAGCAGTTTGAGAAGATGCTAAAGGGTGGGTAGGAAGGAATAAGAGAAGAGGTGTTTTTTGCTCAAAGTTTTCATTCAGAATTTAAAAAAGACACCTGAGAAAAACATGCGTTTAACCAGATAGAAAGTGGCTGCGACATCTCCCAGCTGCCCTTGGCCTGGGCAAGCAGCAGGTGCCAGCTGTGCTCCCCCAGTATCAGGCTGGGCACAGCTGCCTGCTGACCAAAGCTGAACCCCCTGACATTTTCACAATGGAGAAAATGTCTTTGGAACAGAAAAAGCATCTTCCTCCTCTTGTCACGTCAACTGCGTGCTGTGTCCGCCCAAAATAAGCATTAGCCTTTAACTCCTCTCATCCTGCTGCTGCCACAATGAGGTGTCAAAGTTTTATATTTCCTCATATGGTGGGAAGAAAAAAAGAGGTCATGGCTATGACTA